TTACAGAGTCAGTGCACTCTACTTCTGTGCCTTCCTATCCTGTCCATTACTCATTTTTAAGAGATTTATCTTCAAGAGAGAAAACTAAACCACATAAGTATTTTTAGTAGCAGAACTGCAGAGCTTTTTCTAAGTGATTTTTTTTGTGTGTATGCACATGTAGATAGAATGCCTTAAACTGATTTTGTGGCTGCTAAGGTAGGCATGTGCAGGCAAAGAAATCTCAGAGGTTCGTGCAGCGTTTTTTTACCATGCAGCCTTTATAAACAGTATTTGGGAGTAATGGTATCAACTTTCACATAATATACGCTACAATCTTTGATCTTTGTTCTGAAATTTAACAGCCAGGCTCACATGCTTAAATTTCTACCATGCTTCAGAAATACATTCTAGTTGTTACTAATATGATATGGATAACAAAATCAAACCAAGTATTTAAAAGCGTTAGCTCCAAAAATAATCTGGTAAACCTAGTCCTGAACTCTCAACCAGATGAAGCCAGGAGCCAGACAAACATATTATTGGTACTGTTTTTCAGATGAGTACGTTGTATCAGGTTCTTAAATCTTTCCTTGGACAAATCAGTAAAAAGAGACTGAAAGCGTAGCTACACCCTTGCCTAGCTCTGAAAGTACTAAGTCTGAGGTTGGAATGGGGAGAGGTGGCGCAGCACTCATTAGATCAAGTGCAGTACTAGGTGTGCAGGCTGTCCAGCTACTAAACAAGGCTGGTGAAGCCATGGGGCATGGTTATGTACCATATAAACCTATTTGTTCAGACCTCCTTTAGCAAGGAGTTCTATCTCACTGCTGTTTGCAACGTAGTTGAACACTTTGTCCCAGTGCCTCCTTCCCCAGAAAAAGACGGCAGAATCTCCAAAAAGGGGGCAGTGAAGTGAGTATGCATGACTTTGGGAATCTGCCTTGCTTTAGGCTGCATGACCTACAGTACCAAACCCCACATACTTTGAGCTCTAGTGTTTTGTGTCTTGGGGCATGTTCAGTTCTTTGGCATCACAAAGCTGGTGGGAAAGAAATAACCAAGTGTCCACCAAGCATTTGAAGTGTGTGAGATAAAAAAGTGATGTGTGAGGGGCTGCTGACAAGCATCTGGACTCACAGAGATGACCCTTTGCTGCTGACTTAACAGTTGACATTCTGCAGACTGAGAGGAGGTGACCAGTTCTCTGGGAAAGGAGAAGTACAAAACATGACCAAAGATAAAAAGAAACTTCAGAAGCACATTAAGGTCCCAGCTCAGATGTTGTGAAATCCCTTTGCGCGAGGCTGTCTACAAAATGTACAGTGCAAGAGTGCCTAACATGGAGAAGACATGTGGAATGGGAGGGTAAAAGCAGGAAAAACAGCAGTTCCCTAATACCTCACAGGAAATTAGTATCACAAGCAGAAGCTGAATGCTGAGTCTTAGTCCCTGCCCAGTGCTTTATTACCTGTTTTGTCATGACCTCCACAGGTTGATGGTCATTTAAAGATACTGTAATAGAAGAAAGCAGAAATTCTACCTACATGTGTTACTTTCGTTGTGAAAATATCGTCAGTTCAGTTAACCAGAAATTATGGCCCTGCTGCATGCTTTGGGGGCAGGCATTCCCTCCCTTCTGGAAAAAATGTCTTTCGGAAGGATGGCTTAACAAAATGACTGCCTGTCTCCAAAACGGCTCTTGTCAGCCAAGTGCCAAGTGAGGAGAGGAGGTAGAGCCACAGTTTGAGAAGAGTTAAGCCCATCCTCATGGCCTCACAAAAATACCAGCCCCGCATATGGCAGGAAATTCAGTGTGAGTTGAAGCTGCCAGAGATGATTTAATTCTTTCTGAGTGCTCTTTGACCCCTTTCAGAGTCCCAGAATGAAGCTGAGGTCCGGAACTCAGTGACTTCTGGCTACTAGCCCTGCCACAGATCCAGGAACAGCAGCTCATACCCATGTAATGTGGTTCAATGAATCTCACCATTGGACTGACTGCATGTGCCCATGTGCTGGGACTCCCCATCACCAGTGTCAGAAACTGAGATGAGGTACATATAACTGCATTGAACGGGAAGATGTGCCCTTTGTGCAGTAATTAATGTTTCCCTTCTGTGTGAACTTCTACATAGAATGGGCTGAATCACTTCACATTGAGCTAGAAGATCCAAACCCATTGATGACATTGCAAGCGAGTGCAGTACTTGCCACATTAATGGTACAATCTCCACTGCTTTATGCGTCTTCCTTGTAGAGCTTAGGTTATCAGTGGTAACTCTATCTCTGCTTATTTTGGTGGCGTAGCTTTCACCCACCTTATGTGCAAGTAATAGTTCGCTGTAGACCCATAACTTAATACAGTGAGGAAAGGGCCAGTCACCTTCAGGAAAGCCCTGTTAGCTTATGACAGTGAAGTATTTGGCTCTGTAAAGATTTTTGTTTACCAAAATGTTAAAATTGCGTATGATTATCTTACATTGAAAGAATAAAAATATGTTTTTTGCAAGTATTTTCCTGGAATTGGTTTAGATATTCAAGTGTTCATTGGTCAGTAATAAAATTTTGATAATTTCAATGTCTGCAGTAAATCAAAAGCTTCCTTTCAGAAGCAGCAGCTCAGATGTTATAATTTTAAATAACGTTATAAATACACTCACCATAATGACTGCAACATGTCTTTCTCATATACACACAAAGTAGCCATGATGATCAATATTATTCTTTATTGCTTTTGAATTGAAATAAATTTAGAAATATATTAATATGAGTTATTACAGCTCAATGATTAATAAATTTTATGGCTAAAATGGGATTTATATCAGTTTGTTTCATCTCTTTTACAGCAGTTTATACAGTTTCCTTATAATAGTCTGTTCAAATACGTGTATCTCACAGTTGGAATTTAGGACCTGTGTTTTCTGTGGTCTTTACCTGCCTGTTTTTAGCAAGCCCCTTATGATTAGCCAATAATTTGTCAGCCTCCATGTTCTGACTGGCTTATACGAAAATTTCTGCTTGCTATATTGACTCGACCAAGGATTCCTTGCACACCTTTCATCTAAACTCTGAGATAGGTATATATATTTGATCACAATATAATTTTCTTCAGTTGTAACTATTTTTTTTTTTTAGATGCTGACATGTTTTGCATCAATGGTAAGACAATAACTGATTTCAGTATAGCCAAAATTTAATCCTAACTTGTATTAGGTGACCAATATTGTTAGGCACCTGCTTTCTCAGAGTCAGGGCTTTTCACTAACAAAGCCAGTGAAGGCATTCAAGGCTGCATGACTGCATCAAGTAACAGGGACTTTTCTCTCAGACCTTAGCTTCACAGAAGTTTGTCATGTCATATGGACGCAAAGCATCTTAGTTAGGAGTTGGGTTAGCCTTTTTAGTCAGAACTGGCTAAAGAATCATAAATAATTAGACAAGCTCTTGGCATGGCAAATATTTTGTCATTTCCACTGCCCAGTCCTGTTACCACCAAGTTCAGACCTGTTCACGAGTTCAGGCCCTCTAATTTGCTGTTTCCTTCTCCCATGTCTTTCTCATGTGTCTATAACCAGGATGTATTTCATGTATTTAGGCTTGATTCTCCAGAACTTAAGCACATATACAACTTGGTGAAGCATGGTTATTACATTGACAAGCAACTAGGTAACTCATATATATGAAGATGATTATATCTGTAAATATTGTTTGGAGAAGAACTTCAGTTCCTTCCTTTGGTGGTGGTGGGGGGTGTGTGTGTCCCTTCAGTTTCATTTGAAATTCTTCCAACAATTTGTCAATTAGTTTCTCCATTATTTCATAGGGCTTCTATGATTCTATTGTATGTGTCACCAAACAAGATCTGGGGACCACTAGATTTTTCTGTAAGTTATAGCACAATCAGAGAAAAGAGTTCTGTCCCCACCCTGCCATCCAGAGGGCGTATTAGTCGTGTGGTCACTTTTATCTTATAGAACTTTTTTTTTTGCTTAATTAAAATTTTTCAGCATAACAAACCTATGTGATTTTTATAATAATGATTGTAGCTTCCCACATAGAAATGTATTCAGAACTTACTCTGTGTCTCCACTGGAAAAAGGTGTCTTCAGAAATCCGTGGTGCCCTTCGAACACTGTAATCCTAGGCAGCCCAGAATCTCAGGATGGAAAGGTGCTGCTAGTTCTATTCAATCCTATTGAAAAGCAATAAAAGGAAAAAATGAAGTATAAACAAGGTTTGCAGAAGCACTTTTAGAGAAAATTTGTTGTTTTAAGTAATCCTTATTTTTACCATTAAGGCTACTTTTGTTTTGCTGCAGACTTTTGCATTGTGAAAATGAACTGTCAGTCAAATTATCCAAACCCTGAACTAGTGCCTTTATGGTTATAACTTCTTTTACTTCAGTTGGGTTTCCCCAGAACAGCTGCAAGGAAAGCTCTACCCTTTCAAAAAACAGAGAGTGTATAGTACTAAAAACAAGCAGGTATGAGATCCTCTCTCTATTGGCAAGCAACCCCTAAATTGTGCTAAAGAACTCCTGGTATTTTGTTAATAAGTATTTCTAGAATAGATGAAATCTGACATAATTTTGTAGATACATACTAAAGGTACATACATACACACACATACACGCATATATAACATATATATACACACACGTGCACATACACATATGTGGACACCTCTAAACATCTGTCTCAGTAGATAACAATGGAATTTGCTGCGTGCGTTTGTGATTCCTTTGGGGCTCTGGAATTTTACGATCTGACTTCTAATGGGGAATCTCTAGATGTGCTGTGTCAAATGGTGATTTAAAGTTAAAAATAAAAACACAAAAGCAGCAGCAATACAGCACATCACAATAGCAGGTTAAATATAGGCATGGATTACAGAGCCATTGTTTTCACTCCTACTAAATAAGACAGCGTTCTTAAAATGGAACACCTCTTGACCTTTTCTGTCTCATCAGTCTGTGATTGTATTTAGCTGATGCAGGGAGGAAACATTTGCCCCCTGGAACTGTCGCCTGTTGATATGACGATCACTACTACTGGGTCACACCATGCACAGGGGGCAGAAACTCTGCACTCCAGAACACAAGGGGGATCCTGCAGCTCATGGAGGAGCTCTGTCCATGTCCCACAATGACACACGCTCTTTTTTCAACTTCTCTCAACTTGCACTCTCCTCTGGCAATCTCAAACCTCCACAAGTGCTCAAACATTCAAAAATCACTTACTTTGAAGTGGAAATTCTTGATGTGCAAAGCAAGAAGCAGATCTGCATTGTGGACAAGGTATGTTATTCCAGCATAGTGGGGATGTGCTTGGTTCACATGGTGCCAGTTCGTGGACTCCGTTTTCACTTTGTTGTGGTCTTATTCTGTAACAGAAATACTTTCATTATTTTCTCTGAGAGATACTAAAACCTTCTCATTAGTCATAATCAGTGGCTGTTTTTCTCCATGATTTTTACAAATAATCCAGCACAGGTTTCTTTGAGACCTGGCTGCTCTGTGGACTCAAGCTATGCCTTTAGGCTGTCTCTTGACACTTAAATGACCATTTATTTCAGAACATGATACTTGAATGTCTACTTCAGAACAGATAAGGAGTTTTAATACATTTGTAAAGCTTAGTAATGCTGTGGTTTCTTGTTAGTATCTAAATGTATTCTACTGCGTTCTACTTATCAGATTGGCCAGGAACCTGGCAATTTTAAAAGATTTTATTTTGAATCAAAGGGTCTTGGTTTGCTTTTTTTTTTTTTTTTTTAATTAAAAAAAATATAAACTGCAGTCTAATTGTGTAAGTAGAATGAGAGGACTGGGTAGGAAGGAAGTTTACAGCACAGTAAAAAGCAGCTGAGAAAATGTTTCATAAATATTTTCATTATGGTTTTTGTGATTCATTGTCCCTCAGCAGAAAAGCTGAGCTCTTACATGCCATGAAAATGGGAATCCTAATCTATTTAGACTACAGAACTTTTCAGTAACATAGTAGAGGTCTGAGACTTACTATTTTGCTAGAAGAAAAAATAAAAATAAAAAATTCCCTTATCCTCACTGGCAACAGCTGGAAACAGTAGATAAGTTTGTTTCAAATGTTTAATTTGATGCCTTTGAAATATGCTGGGTGGAATACTACCAAATTCCTAGTGTTCTTGATCGTTTAAAGAGTGGTTTTGCTATTTTTATGCCTAAAGGTAAATGTCTCATTTGCTCATTCTTAATGGGGCAAAACAGTTTTTGAGAATTTTTTAATCTAGCTGAAGGGGAAACATGAACAAAATGGTCAAACAAGTATGATGACTATTGGTACCAGTCCTAATGATAGTGTTTGCATTATTTTATTTATTGAATGGTATTTACTCAGTCATTAAAAATGAGTTATCTAAATACTATACTGAATATGGTTTCAAAAAAACCCGTAGTCTGCCTCTTAATTCAAGCTTTCCTATAGTGTCATTAAAACAAATATATTAAGAGAAATAGAATTAGGCAAAGAGCCACATTTCAGGAATCCTTCCATGATGCATGGAAGAACTGTAGTCTGCTGGAATAATAGTAGACCTGAATCTTAATCTTTTCTCTGAATTTTGATGAACCTGAACATTTTCTGCACCTTCTCAAAACCAGGGACTCTGCCCCTGAAGTGGTGGAAAGAGAGTTACAAGTGGTGATTGTGAAGTACTCTCTATATAGAGGTAAAATACACAGAGGAGCAATAACAACTGTAAACTGAAAGCATCTGCTCCGGAATCTATGTTTAATTTATATGTTCATGGACAGCAGCATGGACCTTTTTGTTGTTTACTTTTCTTTCACAGCACTAAGGGATTGATGCAAGTATGGTACAAGACTGAGATTTCCAAGACTGCCTAAAAAGTTTGGATTCTGAATGCACATTCACCTGGTTGTCTAAGTCCCTTAATCTGCTGTGATAATCCCTTCCTAAAGCAACCCTGAAAGTACAAAAGTTCCTTACTTCCATGATCACTTGTTAGTACTGGTGAACTTCATTTGTTATTAGAGCGAACGAGAACATTTTACTGGATTTTGCATAATCTTCTGTTTAATTAAGTATAACACTGATACAGACCTAACATGGCACTTCTAAGGCCTGTGTTCTGTTTGTAAGACAATTATGATTACCTTCATTTCTCAGGGTTGCATGTAGTTATTACAGGTCAAGATTTAGAATAGGAGAGACTAGGAACCATAGATTCTAAAATGTATGTATTTATACTCTTGTATATTGTTAGTAGTTCAGACTATTATGATTTAGCAAATACATTTGTACATTAATAAATCTGAAGGGACAGACAATATTATAATGGCAGAAAGAAGACTCCTTTCTTTCTCCACCTAATAGAAACTCCGGCAGTGTGACTAGATGATTAATGCTATGTCATTAAATACCAGTTACTGCTTCCAGAAGGTTAGTGTTTATGAGACACTTGCATATGCATATGAATTCTATTCAGATTAGTGGAAGCTTTGTAAAGTCTGCAAAATGATGATACATCTAACTAGTTTTTGTATTTAGAAAGAAAATATGTTTTGTGCTCAGTGCGGTGTCAGGGATTTAGAAGAGGTGTGTTTAGCTGTTTAATCTCAAGCAATCAATTGACATAGACTTTGAATGGAGCATAAGTGAATGTGAATTAATTCTCCATCTGTAAAATGAAAATAACATTATTTCCTTTGGTTTTCTTATCCATCTTATACTAAGGATCAGTCACATTAAATGAACTGAGTGGTTACTGTAAGGTGCTGACCGTCTTTAAGATAGGCTTAAAGGAACAGAATAAATACATATTTGCCAGCTTTTTAAACCTGTAAGATACAGTCACATTGTACTGCGGGCTTTTCCACTGCCAGGAAAGGCAGGAAAAAATTATTGAAAAGGAAGTAGTAGAAGAGGAAAACCCCAGACAGTTTGTCCCATAGTCATCCCCCTCCCCCAGGAGCAGGGTCTTGAAGAAAAATACCTAATCTTATAAAACTTGAAGTAAATTCAAAACAGTCAGAAACACTGGCAGTTCATTTTACACGTGTGCTTTGAACATAAGATTATTTATAGGAGTATCATTTCTTTTATTTAATGTTGTCAACCTACTCTGGGGACTTTTTCTGTTATGGGTAAGACGTTATGTTAGCAGTTTGGTGCATACAAGCCTTTCCAGTGAGTTACTTAAAGAATTTTAAAGATAAATGAAATTATGGCTGCCCCATCCCTGGCAGTGTTTAAGGTTATGCTGAATGGGGCTTCGAGCAACCTGGTGTAGTGGAAGGTGTCCTTGCCAATGGCAGGGGGGTTGGAACTTGATGATCTTTATGGTCCCTTCCGACCCAAACCATTCTATGGTGCTATAAATAATAATAGTGTGAGATCTTTTTCCCCAAATTTGTTCTTGGTACAGAAATCAATTCTGAGGTGAGATGTCATGGAAAAGAGGCTTCAAATTTTGGGGATGGGGAGAGAAAGGAGGAAATACAAACGTGTCCCAAAATTTTTTTCCAATTACTCTACAAAATGTTCCCAGACTACTTCTGGAAGGACAGCAGGCACCAGTGATTTATAGACAAAAGCGGGCTACCTTTGACAGCTGGAAAAAGGCATCAAAAAGGAGTTAGTAGGAAAAGCAAATTTAAACCTCTGCTACAAGCCTATCCATCTGTCCTTAAAAGCACTATATAAATGCTCAGAGGAGGTACACTGGGACTGTACTCACATGAACAGAACTATCCACACTCTGATCTGACGGCAGCAGGGGGACAAAAGGCACTTACGTTTTGAGGAGTGCTCTATGCACTGTCCACGAGAGGGCAAGAGTCTGGGTATGTGGGCCAGTTTGAGTGAAAAAGTCCAGTGTCTTCCTGCCTTCCTTCGTGCCCAGAGAGGCAGGCCAGTGTCCTCACACACAGTATGGCTCGGCCATATGCAGAGCATCATGCCCAGGAGAGGATTTCTCAGAACAAAAAGGTGTTTACCCAAGCCTGCACAGGCCTTACAAGAGCTGGTGCCTGAAGACCGCGATTAGCCAAATTTAGCCAAGAAATTTGGCCCATATTTTGACAGTCAATCAAGGGGTGGTAAGTAACAGTTGGGCATCTTGCTCTTCAGTCTCTTCAACATGCACATTGATATTGCATTTTTTTTTAACATGTTCTGTAGTGGAAACATGAATCATACAGATTTCTTGCTCACGGTGTGAAAGAAGTATTCAGCAAGGAATAAATCTCTTCTTTGGCCAGTGTAAAACAGCAGGTGAGCCTAAATGATCACAAGTGCCTTTTTTCCTCACAATTTATTAATTTCTATGGATGAAATCCCTGTCTGTCTGTAAAGAGGACAGGGCATGCAATTAATGATTTCTTGTTAGAAATATTTTCAGTTGAAGAGAGTCCCAAAATGTCTGAGAATTCTGACTCCTGTATTACTTCCAAAAAGCTACAGAAAGCAACATAACATACAAAATTTATTATGTCTTAAAAATGAAAGAAAATAATCCCTTTTTGTATTTTTTAACAAATAATCCACCGTTTTCATCATCAGCCACAACTTATGAAAAATACATAGTTACTCAAAAACTGTTTTATTTGTGCGTTATTCCAAAAGCCTGATATAGGTTGGTTTTAGTTACTGATGTGCCGTGATTTGATTTATAAATGCTATTAAGGTAACACATAACTCTTTCTGTTATAATATTCTTTGTATAATGTTTTTTTCTTCAAATTGTAGTAAAACGTATTTTTCCACAAACATAGTGCAATGTAATTAATTTTACATGAGTTGCTTTTAAGGCAGAAAGTGTTACACAACGTAGTTTTTACAGAATAAATCGCCTTTGGGAAAAACCAGCAAAGAAAGCTTTTTCCCATCAAAACCTCAGTGCCCAGTAGTTTCATGCTATGCAATTTTGAAAGTTAAGCTATACACACAGGTGCAAACTCAGGTTTTGTCTACTATGCAGTGGCCTTCCTTTCCAGAACACTTCTTAAGACCTACAGAAGAGAGCTTGCTTTCTAAGGTGTGCAGGAAAAAGCCTTTTTAATTGGTGTTCTGCGGATATGATGGAAAGTAATTTCCAACTGTTCCTTAAACCAGCCCTCATGTAGCCAGTGCCATTTCCCATTGAAATCTTTTTTGGAAAACACAGTTACTGCTAGTTAAATATTTATAGTTAATGATTAACTATATGTTGGTGAGTGTAGATAGGCCGTGCAATGCTTATAATGAAATTCATGTGAACACTGTTATTTTTCTTAAAGAACCCTTGCATAAGGCCTGT